GGCCGCTCGACGTGCCAGCACGTCTTTTCAAGAACCTCTAACCTCAAAGTTTTACTTCGGATCTCTGTCACGAAGTTGTGTTGAAACTGTTTTTCATGCGACCAGGGGAATGAAGGCAGTTCCCATGACGAGAGAAGCTTTGAGCACCCTCCCTCTCGTCTAACGGTGCCCGGCGGCGATAGTCATTAGCTTTCACTGCGGTTCGAAACCGGAGTCTGCAAAGATAGCTTGGCTCTCATGGAATTTCACCCCGTCATGAGAGGTAGATAGTCAACGCTATAGCCACGGTCAGAGCGTGTTGGCGCCCAGGCTTCAAAAGGTTGACTTGCCAGCACAAGGGCATCTACGCAGACGACTGTATCCATTCGCGCGTCGAGCAGCATCGATGCTACATAGTTTGCACCAATGACAAGGACTCTTGGTGTGCCCTTGATAGTTCGCTGCCGCCATGCTTCTACAGGTTGTTTATGCAGTACTTCCGCCGGGGATGCATTTGAGGACCTGAAGCGAAGAATACGAAAGGCATCTCTGCTGCAAGCCGAGGATATCTCCGACATGTTCTCGGTTTAGTCTGTATGCTATATACGTCCAGACTGTCAAAGATGCAACGCAAAATCAAAGGCTTATTGAACATGCACCGGGGCAGCCGGCAGCAGGCGCACTTGTACGGCGTGTGCCGAGTAAGGCGCTACGTGACAGACAGCTTCGCAGCTGCCCCGCAGTTGCGTGCACCCCACCCAGGTCACTGCAGCAACAAAACCAACACCCTTCGGGTTGTTTTCATAAGCTTTAAACCTTGATCCCTCAACCCTAAATGCCCAGTGAGATCTTGGACCCGAGGTTCCCGGAGTTCCGATCATGTCCGTCGCCCGCGGCATGTTCAAGGTCGAGCGCGTGCCGGAGCAAATCGACCGTGTCCCCATCAAGTGCCATGGCAGTGGGTGTGCAGGGTTTATGGCTTCGAGGGTTTAGGATTGAAGCGCTTTGCATACGGAGGTTTGGGGCAAGTGCGCGAAGATTCAATGCTTGATTGTGGAGCGAGAGTGCATGTCAATCAGACACCTCTAGCTTAATTGACTGCACCTGCCGTTGTGCAAGAATTTCACTGTTTAGGGTCTATATTAGGGTCTGCCAGTGGCAAGGACGCGGTGAATGTTCATGCAGGTCGAATTGGGGCAAGGACAAGTGAGCCGGATCGCGAAGAGGTTCTCGGATTCATGAAGCCTTTATGACAGGCAGCATGCATTCACACTTGTTGTTTTCTGGGCATAACGCAGACATGTTCTACAAGATGTCCCTACCCTCTACGATTTTACTACATGGCTCGCCGACAGACAGTTTGAGACAGCCTTGCGAGCATGATGGGGCTAGAGTTTGATCGGAACAACAAAACAAAAGGCTGTAGTAGTGGTCGTCGTAGTAGTAGCAGCAGCAAGAGCAGCAGTAGCAATGTAGTAAGTAGTAGCAGAAGCAGGAGCAGTCGGTGGTAGTAGTAGGAATAGTAGTGGCAGCAGCAGTAGCAGGAGCCGTAGCAGTAGCGGTAGCGGAAGCGCTAGCAGCAGCAGCAGCAGTAGCAGCCTTCGCCGTAGCGGTAGCATGAGCAGTAACAGCACTAGCAGCAGTACCAGTTAGTAACTGCAGGAGTGGCAGCAGCAGCAGCAGGAGCAGCAAGATATTTTTCAAGAACAACAATCTTACTGGTAAGAGCGATAACAGGGACAGCAATAGTAATTCAAAGAATATACTTTTTGTAAACTCAGCCGTTACTAAGACAAAGACTGAGATCAACAAGAACAGGCGTATTATTGCTAGTGATGTTGCCAAAGGCATGTTTCACAGCGGTGAAAACTGCGGCACTCGTAAGACCGCGTTGATCGCAAAAGTGAGTGACTTGCACAGTGCCGACCCCTGGCCATTTAAGCCACGCGCAGCAGAATGCAGCGGTGACCGGAAGCACGATGTCTTAGTGAGCGATTTGCATACAGTAGTTTGAGAGCATGCAGTCAGAAACGCCGTGGTATTCTAGTTTGCACTCATGACCTTGACATCTTGAGACCCCTGCCGGATCCAGCTGCAAGATTGAACGGGACTGGGATCTGAGGCCTGATTCAAAGCACCCAAGACCCGACAGCTGGAGCGCTCTAAGAACCCTCCAGTGGAGGCGGAATCGCAATCATCTTCTTCGAAGCCTGGAACTGATATTTGTTGGAGTGTTCGTTATCCCCGGACCCCGTGAATTGGAGCCTTGCAGCATTGAGTACAGCATGGCTACTACACAGATGTGCTCGGAAGCCAAGTCGTTGTTGCTGATGTGTGTGTGTGTGTGTGTGCGTGTGCCTTTGGTTAGCCTGCACCGCCTGCAGGATCCTGTCTCCGGTCCGCTGCGCGAGTGCAAGGCTTGCAGCCCACAAACCCTCCAAGTTTGAAGAGTCCACCCACATATATATATATATATATATATTACATATATGTAGTATTCGTGATATACATATGGCAGTTGATCTAAAGCTCCTTGAGCCATAGTTTATATGAACGGCCAACTGCATGGCTAAATATGCCTTCGCGGAAAGTTCCGTGGTGGTGCCGCTAAAGTTAGTTTTATTTTTGCGAAAGCTATCTGTTTAGCCTAGTTGCCGTATTATTAACTATTACTGTTACTAGTTACTATTAATATTGCTACTGCTACCACCACTACTACTACTACTACTACTACTACTACTACTACTATACTACTACTATTACTACTAATACAATACTATTACTGTTACGGTTACCATTATTGTTAATAGTACTAGTACTAGTACCCGACTACTACTACTACTATTAATGTTGCTATTGCTTTCTCTATTGTGAATATCGTGAGTGTTGTATTATGTCTGTGTACCTACACACTGTATGTAGAACTGCATATGTACATACATAAATACATACATACGCCTACCACTACATCTACACATACACATGCACATACGCATAGACACATGCATACATACACATACAAGGAGACGCCCCCTAGTTATAACTTAGTTATGATAGTTATAACTCAAGTTGTGGGAGTTATATCTAAGTTACAGAAGTTACGCTATATCTTGTGTAACTAAGTTATAACTTGGTTATAACTTGTTGTGGCCTGAAAATTCATTTGATTTTTGCAAAATGAATCCAATCATTATAATTCAATGAAATATGCAGAATCTTAGTTTCAGCCAGCACTTCGTAAGCTTTTTTTGGCATCGGAGGCAGTTTTTCTGTTTGCAACTGAGTTAAAGCTCAGAGTACGCAGGTGAATTCCTCGACATCTTTCCGATGCCAGGTTGGCAATCTTGGCAGCTGCAAGGCTTGCTTGGCTACTAGGGTCGCTTCTGGACCCTTTTTAAAGACCCTTTGCGTTTCATCTTTCCACACGAGCTCTAAAGCAGTGCACCCAATCCTCAGGGAACCATTTGCGCACTCGCAAAAAGAAGTGGCAAAGAGCAGCCATGTTCCACTGCGGCCCGTGCAGCAGGACATCGTTTCTGCTGACGTCCAGCATGCCTGCCCGCAGCTGCTTGGCGAGCAACTCACCGCCTGACGCTTGCGTCCCGCTCGAGGGAACCGTGGGGACCGGGTTGTCTGCGGCAGCAAACGTGGCTTCGGTGTCCATTGACAGCTCGAGATTGAAACCGCGTGCGGCACAAGCAGCTACGTGTGATCAAGTGTGCTGTGCAGTCAACAAAGCCTGGATGCGAGCCGGGTTGAAAAAAGCAAGCCGCAGGGGAACAGCTGAGCACAGGGACCCCGCATTTTTTGCGTTGTCACCGCTGTCGCCTGTAGTCCGATCTTCGTCGGCTCATATACGGCATCGCTTTACGGATGCAGGCTGCGGCCACCGAAGCTGGAAGGAAACCAAACTCCGTTGTAAACACGCTCCAGTGGTCGCAGCCTTCGGTTGCTACTGGGAACAACAAAACCTAAGTGCCATTAGGTCTTTGAGACTTATAATTACGCCTTCAGAGGCCGCTCCCTGGCTCCATGGGATGAACCAGGCAAGCACGACATGCAGCCGGGGGTGAAACGCTCTACTTTCGGGACCGCTTGGTCGGGCGGCCGTCGCCCTTGGCCTTGGCTTTGGCAGCTGTCGCCCGCAGCTCGCGCTTGCGGTTCTGCAGCGTGCGGACGAGCTGGTTGCCGTTCTTGATCGCCTCGGCGATGTCCGCGGCAGTGAAGTCCAACGGCAGCTGGCCCTGCCACGTAGTGTGACCGGCCGCGGTCTGCTGAAGCACCTCCTGGCCGCGATTCTGCATCTGCGGCAGCCGGCCAGACAGCTCAAGCAGCTCCTCGCGAGTGGCTTCCGGCAGGCCTTCCAGACCTTGCCCTGCCAGGTCCTCCTCCAGCCTGCCCAGCTTCTGCGACACGCCCGTCAAGGTCAGGCTTCGCCCCAACAACGCTCCCA